CACTCTCTCTCTCTCTCTCTCTCTCTCTCTCTCTCTCTCTGTCTCTCTCTCTCTCTCTCTCTGTCTCTCTCTGTCTCTCTCTGTCTCTCTCTCTCTCTCTCTCTCTCTATGTATCTCTCTCTATCTATCTATCTCTCTCTCTTTCTCTCTCTCTCCCCCTCTTCCCTCATTCCCTTACATAGTGGGGACCGGACTGAGAGAAAGGAGAGGACACTCCGGTATCTGTCCGCCGACCTGTCATAGTTCGTTAAGCGTGAATATGTGCAGAGGACAGTAAGCTGATCGTGAGCTCTGTGGTTGCTAGATGCCCCCCCCTCCCCACACACACAAACACATAAACACACACACACACACACACACACACACACACACACACACACACACACACAAACACATCCACCCCACCCTCCGCCACCTCAGTCCATTCCCTCACAATGTCTTTCATTTTCACAGTCAAGGTAAACAATTCAATCACAAAGGGAAGTAAGCAAAAATAAAGTCGTGAAATTACATAAACATGAAAAAATGATATCAATAGGCGGATATTAGACCATATCTTTTCATATAAACTTTGAGCTTGTTAAGTATTAACAAATGGCCAAACATACACGGCCAACGATCGTCAGTTCTAATTGATGTCTTATGATTAGACATGAAGAACAGAAAACTATATAACCATAGCACAGTAGTGATTGCTGTGTACATAAGTAATAGGAGGTCGGGGACGGACGGCGGGGGCCTGTTGTAATAATCACATAACAGATCCCTGGTCGGGGGGGGAGGTGTTTGCGGGGGCTGGGCAGGAGCGGGCAGGGGCCTCAGTTGGAGGGTTCTGTGGTGTGACAAGAGACTGGAGAGAGGAAACGTGTCTAAAACGGAGAGGGGACTCACCGGCGAACCTGGCACTGTGGGGAATGAGCTGGACCAACAGGGAGCCTTAAGTGGAGGATTGAAAGGTGTGTGAGAGAGGGTGACCAAAGATAGATAACAAGGCTAAAACAGCTCCTGGACATGGATGGCTGGTGTCACTATATATAATTTCTTGATGGCCAAAGGTGGATAGACAGGGAATGTCGTCAGGTAGTCCAACGGTCTGTCTGTCTGTCTCTCCCGTGCTTCACTCTCTCTCTCTCTCTCTCTCTCTCTCTCTCTCTCTCTCTCTCTCTCTCTCTGTCTCTGTCTCTCTCTGTCTCTCTCTCTCTCTCTCTCTCTCTCTCTATGTATCTCTCTCTATCTATCTATCTCTCTCTCTTTCTCTCTCTCTCCCCCTCTTCCCTCATTCCCTTACATAGTGGGGACCGGACTGAGAGAAAGGAGAGGACACTCCGGTATCTGTCCGCCGACCTGTCATAGTTCGTTAAGCGTGAATATGTGCAGAGGACAGTAAGCTGATCGTGAGCTCTGTGGTTGCTAGATGCCCCCACCCTCCGCCACCTCAGTCCATTCCCTCACAATGTCTTTCATTTTCACAGTCAAGGTAAACAATTCAATCACAAAGGGAAGTAAGCAAAAATAAAGTCGTGAAATTACATAAACATGAAAAAATGATATCAATAGGCGGATATTAGACCATATCTTTTCATATAAACTTTGAGCTTGTTAAGTATTAACAAATGGCCAAACATACACGGCCAACGATCGTCAGTTCTAATTGATGTCTTATGATTAGACATGAAGAACAGAAAACTATATAACCATAGCACAGTAGTGATTGCTGTGTACATAAGTAATAGGAGGTCGGGGACGGACGGCGGGGGCCTGTTGTAATAATCACATAACAGATCCCTGGTCGGGGGGGGGGTGGGGGGGGAGGTGTTTGCGGGGGCTGGGCAGGAGCGGGCAGGGGCCTCAGTTGGAGGGTTCTGTGGTGTGACAAGAGACTGGAGAGAGGAAACGTGTCTAAAACGGAGAGGGGACTCACCGGCGAACCTGGCACTGTGGGGAATGAGCTGGACCAACAGGGAGCCTTAAGTGGAGGATTGAAAGGTGTGTGAGAGAGGGTGACCAAAGATAGATAACAAGGCTAAAACAGCTCCTGGACATGGATGGCTGGTGTCACTATATATAATTTCTTGATGGCC